GTTGATTGTTACGTAAAACCTAGCTTATAATATTACCCCTCGGCAGCCTTAGTTATCGATGTTTGTTTCTGGCATTAGCTTCTGTTCGGCACAGGCATGTTGTCCTCCGTTGCCGCACTGACCGTGCATGCCGCGCCAGCACGGACCTCGCGGTCGTGAGTCATTGTAGCGGCGGTGATCTCGTCAGCGCGGTGCGCCACGTGAAATAAAATCACGCGGGGCTTGGGCACGCTGCTGTTGCCGCCGTCGAGCCGTGAGTCGACATCGAATCACGCGGTTCAGACTCATGGGCGGTACTCAGTGGCGGCTGACAGTCTGCCGGGGCCTGACTGTGGCTTGGCCTTGTGTTGAGGGCGGCAGGCGTGCTGTCACCGGACGTCTGGCGTTCCGCCTGGCCGCCTCCCTGCACGAGCCAGCCAGGCGCGTCCCATTACGCCGGTGCTTTGAGCCGTGAATGTTTGCCGTGCGCACGGCTCCCTCTGCCGGTAAACCGTACGCAGAGGGGCAGCCGCTGGCACGAGGGAAGCCTGTGAGGCCGTCGGGAGGTCGCCCGCCACGCCCAGCTCCTCAGGGACACGCAGCCGTGTTAGATGTTGAGGCACCGCCAGGCACCACGGTATGGTGGGCTCAATTCCAATCCAGATACACATATGCACAGTCTTGCCGAAGAACGCAGCAGAAACGAAAGTGTGTATTGGGGCCCGGGAGTTCATGGGTTTGCTCCGCGATAAAACGAAGGTCACGTTGATCAAATTCAGATTGGCTCTAATTGCCCAGCCATGAAGTTTGGCCAGGCCCGCATGTCTGAGACGACTTCCAACCGAGTCCGTGCAGGTTCGCTTGATAGTAATGGCGTCAATTACACTGGAAGCATTCCTGGAAACGTCTTCCTGATGTGTGCGAATTCATTGGACCTGTTTTGTGTTTGATCTGCTTAAATCAGTCGATGCGAATTCATCCACCTCCTGTGGGGAACCTATTGTCTGCAACAAACAAGCTACCGGTGACGAGGGTGAGATCATAATGGCACGAACAACCCCGCCGTAAGGTTTTCAACACACGATCATGCGACTCGTTCTTCAGTGGTTAAGTTCAGCTGTGCCGTTTTCAATCTGGGTCACTGATTGCAGGCAGAGCGCCAACACTAACCGGCACGCGCGTTCGTTGCAGACGAAGGCAGACCTTTCGCTGGAGGTCGAGCTGTCGAGTAGCGACCGCTTCAGCAGCGGCTCCACACTGACGAGCACCCTGCGCTCCGCCCGCACGCCGCCGGCGGCTATCGGCGGCCGACCGCTGCGGCTCTCGCTCGCCTCGCCCTCTCCGGGCGCCGCCGACCGCTCCGTCACCCCTGCCCGGCCCTCTGCCGCTGCAGCGGCCGCGGCGGCCGCACCGAACGCCGGCGGCGCCGCCGACGCCCGCTTAAGCTCGTGCTCGTCGCTGTTCTCGCCGCTCGGCGAGCGCGGTGCCGGCGCCGCCGACTGGACGTCCGGCTCACCCAGCCTCGGCTCCGTCTCGTCGCTGGCCGAGTCGGGCGAGCCGGCGCCAGTGGCGGCGGCGGCGGCGGAGGCGGTCGGCGCGGGCTCGCCGTCGGCAGAGCTGGTGCGCCTGCGCCAGCGCACTTCGGCGCTGATCCGCAGTTTGCGCCAGTCGCCGCCGCCGCCGCCGCCGCCGTCGGCCGCCGCCGAGTGCGACGCGCCCGTCGTTGACGCCGGCTCCGGCTCGCCGCCTGCTCCCGAACCGGAGCTGGCGGCGCCCGCGGCCCAGTCCGAGAGCAACTTTAGTCAGCTGGAGGATCAGGTCAGTCTGGACGGGGGACGGAGCGAGTGTCTGGCGCACGGGGTGGTGCGAAAGTTGGGATGGGCGTTGGGTGCCGGTGATTCGGCGCCTGTGTTGTGGTGTCGGTATGCAGGATTGTGGAGAACGTGTTGACTGGTGGGCAAGCTCGTGTATTTTGCCCGAGCATCTGGAGTGTTGCATGTATTTGATATAGGTTTGCCCTGATCCGAATTAATCTCAGCTGGGAAAATCCAGCTGGAGCATTCTGTAATTTACTCCTGATGTAAGCGCGTTATGAAGTGTTGTCAGTCTTTTGTCAGTCAGTTTTTTTTTGTCTTTTGTCAGTTTTGTGTTCTGACTTTCGGCTCACTGTAACCTCTGCCTGTTCGAGCTCTGCAATGGCTTTTTCTGTGTATTGTTGATCGGCTTGTCATGTATTCCAAGAGGGTCACGCGTTGTTTCTTTTACAGATGGCAGAAGCACTGGCCCTCAGCGTCTTTGGTCCCGGGGATTTCAACCATTCGCTGGATTTATCATTCAACCGAGAGAGCTTAGGTAATTCTACTCCTCGCGTTTTTCTAGGTCGTGCAGATGTGAAGAGATCTGTTTATGCGGTCAAGTCTACCAAAAAACACAATTTTGTTTTCCTAGAAAGAGCTAAGGAATGTTCTCAAAAGCGGCTTGTCATCTTAACAAGTTCCAGACATCTAGAATATTCCCACTTTTGCGGGTTTTTTTTGTCTGTGGCGGTGACGCAATAAACAAACACCGTCGTAATGAAAGAACCGTTCCCATGCCCCCCCCCCTCCCCTCTCCCCCCCCCCCCCCCCCGGCTCTCCCCATAAGGCCTATACATTTGCCGAAACTTAGCATAATTATTACAGTGTGGAGAAAGCTCCTCGCGGAAAAGTAGAATCTAGAGATGTCACAAATCCCCATGCCATTAACTACAAAGCGATGTTTTCTCCGCATGCCGCCTTTTTCATTGCCAATGAAAGCCGTGCAAGCTCGGGCTTCCCACCCCATTACGGGAGCGGCTGTTTCTGGTTTCTAGTGCATTCCGAAATATTATGCCGAACATCAGTCCGGGAATCGTGTAACGATGAGGGATCGGGAAACCCGAAATTTATTCAACGTATTGTGGTACATTCCAGGTGTGGCTTATATTTGAGCTGAATATCAAATGCGACACATTTGTTATTGGATTCCTGTGTGTCCAGCATCGAGATCTCTTGATGACGTCAACCAACCCCAAACCTGATGTCTTCTGCGGAACCTATCTCCCGGTTTCCTCCCTGAACTCAGCCGTCTGCAGTCGGTTCTCCTCCGGTCTCTGGCACGCCGTGCCCTTTCCGTTGGGCTGGCGAGCGGCAGCTCGGCCCTGACCCCAGTGCGGCCCGGTCCACAGGTGGCGTCGAGCTGCCGCTGGTGGAGCTGGACGACAGCGACTGCGTGGACGACTGTCCCGCCAGCCCGGCGCGGGTCGAGCCGCCCACAGACGTCCTCATCGACCTGTAGCAGCCTGGTGTCAGCGGCCGCGCCGGAGGCCGGCTGCCTGGCCCCGACCGGCGGGGAGCGGGACGCGTCGCCGGGCCGCCGCCGGACGGTCGGCGACGTCGGCTGAGCCCGGCGACGGGCCCGCTCTGGTGCCGCCGCGCGCGTTAAGCGGCGGATGTAGATCACGCTGGTGTGTGCTTCGACGGATGCGGGTCGCGCTGGTGTGTGTTTCGACGGATGCGGGTCGCGCTGGTGTGTGCTTCGACGGGTGCGGATCACGCTGGTGTGTGCTTCGACGGATGCGGATCACGCTGGTGTGCGCTTCGACGGATGCGGATCACGCTGGTGTGTGCTTCGACGGATGTCGATCACGCTAGTGTGTCCTTCGACGGATGTCGATCGTGCAAGTGTATGCTTCTCGAGGAGATCCGCCGGCTTCGCTGCGTATAAAAATGTGCTGCCGGGATTCGCAAGAACGGCATTTGGGGAGGGGCGGCTGGAAACAACGCTGGTGATATATGTTTTACGGTGGGGTCTGACCGGGGCGGATGTGGACTGTGGGTTCAGAGTGCGTGTCGCTGCAAATCTGATGGTTTGCAATCTGATCAGGCTGCTTCGGCGTTCCTGATTGTGTCTGCTTTAAAGTTGCACTAACGTGTTGGCAGGCTTCAGCTGAGTTGTGGGGACCATCGCCTTTCCAATTGCTTGTGAAATGTCTGTTCTTCTAAACCGCTAAGTTCTCGGTGCATAGCACGCTGCCTTGTTATGTTATGGTGAGTAGCTTGTGTAAATAACGGCCATTAAAGGTCTTACTGAAATACAGGAACAGTTGCGGCACACCCCGTTTTAGCAACATGTTTTATCCCCAGCCGTCGTTTGGTATAAGGTGGCATCTGACCGCCCGTAGTCGAACTCCCGGGCTCTTTGAACACGAATGAGGGAGTGGGTTTGCATGGCCAAAAGGTTGGTCAGAATGCGTAGTGCGTAGGGGTATAACTTAACGATAATAACATTCGCTCTGGATTAGGTGACTGCAAGGGTATTCTTGTTTGGTGTAGGGCCTATTGCCATGAGTGCGTGAACACTGCGATGTAACACGATAATGGAGGCTGTTGGGGGCGAGACGTGACCAGGAAAGTCGGTGTGCCCTGCAACCCAAGTCCTTGTCATTGTGAGTAAAACGTCTTAAAACAGACGTGGAACCCGATTGAGGATGTCCGGTTTTCTAAGAGCCTGACACCGACGCGTCATTTGATATTACCGGCAGGGTCTGGCTGTCAACGCTAGCATCAGATTCTATGGCAAGTGAAGGTCAATAGAATAAGCGAGGTTCTTGACCCGTCGTGCCGGTCATCACGTTGCGAAATTGGGTTATTCCCAAATGGTAGTTTTGCATTTGTAGGCCTTGCCGCGCATCACCCTGTAATTATTGTTTCCTCCCCCCCCTTTTTCTCTCTCTTGTAAGCCGTGCGGTGCTCCTGTTGCTGAGCGTAAACGCTCGTTTTTTGAGCATTATTTTCATGCAACCAAGTACTTGCAAGAAGTAGTAATCACTCCGAGGATTAAATCCAAGGGTGCCAGGCGACGGCCCCATCCCGTCGACAGTTTGAGAAAAAATGTGGAATTATGCAAGTCTTGGTGATCTTTGTATCTTGCGAATGGCGCGGAGGAGACGATTGGGGGAAGGAGGCCGCCAATCACATTGCCTGCCTCCCCCTCCGCGTACCCTTGCCCATACCTGGTATCGGTAGACTCATCGCGTTGCCATTGGCGTGATTGCTGAGTTTGGGACTTGCGGATACCGATACAGAGGGGTGGTGGAAGCATTTGTTAAAGGTAGGTGATGCGCTTTATGGGTTACGAATTAAAATGACATATGTTTTTTTCTACACCATGCAGCACGTAGCTTTTCGGATCAAGGTGCTTTGAAGGTTACAGCTTTCCATAGCATCATGCTAAGCTGCTGTGGCCATAATTTTACTGAAAAGCGTTAGGCTGCTAGGCCTGTTCATACCTGCATGCTACTAATTCATGTGGTTTGCTATTGTTTAGCACATGCATGTGTTTCAAGGGTGCGTTTGTAGGCCTCAAAAGCTGAATTACTGAATGTCTCTTTCTGCTTTTAGGATGGCAATGGAAGAACACACAGTCACCTTGAGCGATGATGAAGAAGAAATGGAGCAGCAGGCAGTTTCTCTCAATTATGAGGGGTCATTAAATAAATGGACCAATTACATCCATGGTTGGCAGAACCGATGGATGGTTCTTTCAAATGGTATGACATGAACTTCTCCTTTGTTTGTGGTTGCTTGTGACTGATCTACTGGAACTTGGCTGATTTCAATCAGCATTGAGTGGGATAGGTCCCAGACTTATGAACTTTGTGAAGTCATCTTCCTGAGTACTGCTCAATGCATGTACCATTACTGATTGTCTGTAATTATCTCAGTCCATGGTTAGGCTCCCAATAATTGTTCTAGGTCATGAAATCAGCAAAGCATTATCAAGGTGTTTACCTTTTTGATCATCAAGACACATTTTTTCTGATGACAGTCATGCTTGATGTTGCTTCTGAACTGACTACATATTTTTGTAATTTTATGAAATTTGGGTCTGATAGCAGCCTGTGAAATAGCCATGACATGTGCTTTGACCATGTTATGGATTCATTGTATAGGTGACAAGTGGAATTCCTGTTGCACTGTGCAGTGGTGCTATCTATTGGTGATGCGATATCACTTCTAGGTTTGTCTGTATTGCAGGTACATTGTCATACTACAAATCTGAGCATGAGCAAGGTGTTGGGTGTCGTGGGGCTATCAGCATCCACAAGGCAGCTATTAAGGTAATGTGTGAGCACCAGCTGGGATCACTGTGGGGTGGTATCTTTCACTGCTGAAAAATACTCACATGTTTTCCTATATATGTCAGACAGCATGACCAAACATAAATATCATGGTTTCCTGAGATTGGACATAGCACAGCAAAATGACTACTTTTTCTCTTGTTAATGTATTGATACATTCTGCATATTTGCCTTTTTAAAATGATATCTGTCTGCATGTGCTTCTTTCATCTGATACAGTGGATTACATATGTTAAGTGCAGTGTGGTGTGGGCTGATATGTCTTTATGTGGCACAAGTAGCTCAGTATCTCGAAGGAGACAAGGTTTTCTGACCACCTGATTCAACCTACCCCAGGTGAAAGGCCCAGTTCATGTGCAAGGTCTGTTTGGATGCAATTCCATCCATGCAAGCTATTACAATATCATCCTTAAAACTTGACATGTTGAGTTATCTGGTGAACCATTTGTATGGTAGCTCCACATCACAGCCTGTAGTAGGCCTGTTTTCATAATTCTTTAGGGTGAAGTGTGTTATGTGTTTTCGGCCTACATGAATCCTCAATAGTTATCTTGTCAGGAAAGGTGGTACATCATTGTGTCCAGAGTTTGTCAAGGTGATTTCCAGTGCCCAGTAGCATCAAACAAGCCACCTTTTTGCAGCCACATGAGTTTGATGAGTGCCGGTTCGACGTGTGCGTGGGCGATTCAGTTTGGTACCTCAGGTCCAACTCGCTTGAGGAGCGCAACCGCTGGATGGACGCCATCGAGCGGGCCAAATGCGTGAGTGCTCTCTGCGGCTTTTGGCGTGGGGGGTCTGCTTCCTCAGCTGAGCCTCAGGGGGGGGGGGGGGGGGGCAGTGCAGTCCTGGCAGTTGGGTTGTTGATGGTGGCCACTCAAGGTAGGCATGAGGGACATGTGACATCTTTCCCCATGTGACTATCAGTAACATCAAAAGCAATGTGGAAATGTGAGTTAGCAGCATAGACCATGATAGCTGAGCAGACCACTGCCATCTGGATGTAGAATGTGGCTTTGTTAGTTTTCATGCTATTCTTTACAACTTTGTTGTCTAGAACATGCTCATATTTTGCAGAAATAGCTTTAGGCCTTGTAGTTTTGTTATTTCAAGTTCAGTCCTAGTTTTGTCTTAATTTGTAAAAGCTGATGATCAGTTATTCCCATTCAAACAATGATGCCACCATCCAAACATTGCAACTGATTTCCTATGATCAGTGTATATAAGTACGGCCTGCTGTCCCTGTTCAGTGCTGCTCAATACTCGGTATCGTTGCCGGGTCGCTCCGGGGCCGGTGCTCTGACGCTGTGTGTCGCCAGGCGGACTCGGCGTACGGCAGCGCCAACAGTCTGAAGCGGCATGGCTCGGCGCTCTCGCTCACCTCCAACACGCTCTCCGGATCCGGTGTCAAGTGGTGCAAAGGTGCGCCGCTCGGGCTGGCCGCCCGCTCTGGTCATGGGTCGAGCAGCCCAAGTCTGCTGTGTCTTACACTCGGAGCGTGATCCCCCTCCCCCGCCAGTTGGGGGCTCCGCCAGATGTGGCCGGTACTTCCGTGTTATGAGTTTGACTGTTGTTAAGCTCCAGCGAGGTGTTCATGCCTCTGTTTGTGGTAGATCTGTGCATGGCCATGTTTTATGCTTGCACATTGGCAAATACAACATCTGGTAAAGTTTAGGAACGTTGTCTGCTATCTGCAGTTCGGCCAACGACCAAGAATCCTTCGCGCGCGTCACTTTCATGATGCTTTTGGCTGGACATTCCCTTCCTCGTCTCATAGCCGCGGTCGCCTCCGATCGGAAGTGCACCTGCTCTGTGCCATCGGGCCCCGCGTGTTGGCTGCAGTGGCCCATCCGGCCGCGTCCGCGCGCCTTGCCACGTGACCACGGCCCTGACCGCGCCGACAGGCCTCAAGGAGAAGATTGAGGAGCTGGAGACGTACCGTGACATCCTGAAGCGCCAGGTGGACACCCTGCAGACCTTCTTCGACACCTGCGTCACCGCTGGCGACCGCGCGCGCGCCAAAGGTGAGCGCACGTCCCTGCCTTGTCGCACGAGGGCGAAGGCTGGGATGTGTGGGAGGGGGGGGGGGGGGGCGTCTCGCGAATGGGCCGCCTTCTGGCCCGCGAAGTACCGGGACGGACGATGACGTGTCTTGGTTTTGTGGTGGTACGGCTTGGTTTTGCAAATGCCATTCACTTCCTTTTTCACAACGCTTTAGAGGAATTTCTGCACCCTTCGTTGTGCTTGCTGCTTCGCTGCTTTCTCGATATTCCTGTTGGTGGCGTATTTTAACACATGCGTTATCCGTTGCGCGTGCGTTACGCGTCACGTGTGCGTCACAACATGCGGCTGTCGATCTTCCTAACGATGCGGCGGCCCGTGAACACACAACGATTGGGAGATGTCCTGAATGCTGATGCACACAGCTTTCCATCCACTATAAATCACACGCCGTCTGTCAAGCGCCCCGCCGGTGGAGCATCTGCCCGGGGTTTGCAGCCCGATCGTGCTGAGCGTGTCGTCACACGTGGCCCGATGCACCGTTTTGCAGTGTGGAGCGACAGTGAGGACGAGAGCGCTCCACCACTGGCGAGCGGAGAAGCGCGACCACGTAAGTCCCCGCCCAACCGTGTTCGGTTTGCGGTCTACCAGGCCATCAAAATATTGATAATGCCACGCTTGTTCTCGACCTGAAATAGCAGCATGTGCTGCCGGTGTAATGTACAGTGTCACCAGCGTCTCTTTCCCTCCAAAACACGGGAAATTTTCGTTTTTTTTGGAGGGGGGGGGGGGTAACGCTGGTAACACTAGCATGTGCATGTGCTGTCGGTTTGATATACATTGTTAACAGCCCCCAAAACAACGGGAGTTTTTTAATAGCATATTCTACCAGTGTCTGCTGTTACACTTTTATTAGGCGGATGAGATCTTCTTTCGATGGAGGGTGGTGACATATATCGCAGTACGCGAGCGCGTTCGTCCAGTATGTCGTGTCCCGAGGCTGCCTTCCACCTAAACGGCACGGAGACATCCCGCCAGCTGTCACCGCGCCACAGCCGGCGTCGGGCCGGACTCCACCGAGCTTCGCCCGGCGCGAGCACGCCTGTGACGCCCGTGTTCGACCCGTTCCAGCACCAGGGCTGCTGCAGCCGACCAGGGAGGCGTTCCAAGGCCTCGGTTTGGACCCAATCGACTTCAAGGGCGAGGCCATCACATTCAAGGTGGGCTGGCGAGTGCCACGGTAACGGCAAAGGCGCGCTTGCCAAAACATCAGGCGCTGGTTATCGCATTCTATTGTCGCGTCTGGGGGTTGACGGTTGACGATATGGCTCCTTTGCGGTCTGTGCGCGTGATAAGGCATGAGGAACATCATATCTCTGGTGAGCATCTGTATTTGGCTCAGGATGTTGCGTTGGAACAGCCACCATTTTGTTTGCTTGGGCGGCGTTCTACTTAGCTTTGCTCGGTTTGGGGCAACCGACTTCGGTTGATCATTATTCGAAATATCGAGCGAACTGCCACAGCCCCAGCCAGCGACCGCGGCGGAAGTGTGGCCACGACCTCGTCAGACTATGCTGTCACCCTGCGGACTCCGGATGCGAGCCCCCAGTGGCACGTGGCCGTGCCGCGCCGTCGGCCCCCGAGCGTGCCGTTCACCAGGGTGCCGGGTGTCCGTGCCGTCCGTGGTGCCCGCCCCGACAGAGCCGCCCGCCCGGCCGTGACGAGCGCCGCCGGCCGGCGTCCCCGGGTGTCCGTGCCGTCCGTGGTGCCCGCCCCGACAGACCCGCCCCGCCCGGCCGTGACGAGCGCCGCCGGCCCGGCGTCCCCCGGGTGTCCGTGCCGTCCGTGGTGCCCGCCCCGACAGACTCGCCCGCCAGGCCGTGACGAGCGCCGCCGGCCGGCGTCCCCAGGCCACCACGGCCGGCGTGCTGTCGACGCTGCAGCACTGCGCCGAGCTGATGAGTCAGCGCGAGGACGGCTGGCGACGCCGGATGGAACGCGAGCTGGAGCGGCGCCGCCTGCTCGAGGAGCGGCTGGCGCGTCAGGAGGAGGCGGCAGCGGCCGCCACCGGCTCGCCCGGACCAGAGAGCCCGGCAGGGAAACGGCACGTGATGTTCGGCGGCCCCGACTACCAGGTCAGTGCATAGGCGCCACATGACCAGCGTAGTCGGTACGCGCCAAAGCCCACATCATCGCTAGGTCATTGCCGGCCCTGGCTGGTGTGGTCGGGTCCTGACCATCAGAGTAGTCCCCGGGCGGGCGCCGACTGTGGGGAAAGAAGTGAGCCTGTCGCCTGCGTGAACTCGTGCTGATCGGACTTAACCCATTGGAATGTACTATGGCCACACTTGGTATCAGCAAGGAAGGCCATAAGTCCCTTTTCGCCTTTTTGGGATACTGAGTTCGTTGTTCTTTATGCGAAAAATCAGGAGCGCAGCCAGGATTGGCTTGCTTATGGGGCGGCGAGAGTGGACAGATCTCGGTGAGTGCAAGTCACATCAATGTTAATTTCCGGAGCCCGTTATGGTGAAAAATCCGGTCTCGGTGAGTGGCTTCCGCTCCCTCAGGGTCGCTCCTTTGCGGTGGGGGAGGTGTGAGTGCATCGGCTACCGAGGCCATTTTGTGCGCCGTTGCCGAAAATAACTGGCCTCGTGAAATGAAGGTCGTTTATTCTCAGTATAATAACTACCAACTCATATCTCACAGGTGTGTAGAGAACGTCCCCGCACTGACATTCACCGCCCGTGCACTAGATGTACAGCGCTGGAGTATTGGCTTGCTGGAGGCCTGCGTCGGCCTGACAGCGTTGATTTACGGGGTGAATCAATTCGAATAGGCTTATGTACTAGGTGACTGATGGAAGCATTAGTACAAAAATGTGAGCATTTTGAGCGGATATCAGTCACGTTCAACTCAACTATACGCACTAGTGATTTTCACGGCCCGATCCGTCTTGGAGTCCAGGCCGGGGCGTGTGGCGCTTGAGACCGGTGTCGGAGGTTGTGGCGTCGGCGGCATTTCTGGGCGCGAATGTCACTGGCCGATCTGTGCGCTGCTGGACATTGCTGACAGCGCTTTGCGGACTATATTTTGGCTTACGTCGCACAGCTCTTTTCACACCTCTGTCCACTCAGGTTGCCGAGATTAAACATCAATCTTTAAAAACGCCAGAAGTCTGGTATATCCCCGGTTGGCGTGCGATTGCGCATGACAGTTCGACACATTGCCCCATGTCTTTTCTAGTACAATTGTCAGTTTTCTCGTGTATCGGTATCAGTCAGTATCATGCCGCTGCGACATCTGGTGGCTGAAGTTGGAACTGTTTCAGATCCGCGGTGTTCAGCTTTTTGTAACTCAAATATTGATGTTTCCCATGTTAATTAAGTGGAGAAGTGCTCTGGTTATGGTAATGCAACATTGCAGAATGATCGAATGGAGAAGAAAACTATTGTAATATTGCAACGTTGCAGAAATGCCCTTCCCGAAAATTCACTCATATGACCGCTGCAGTCGCTGGAGCTCCAAAAAAGGACGTGACGACTTGCGCCGCGTTCTTTTAAAAAAGAATACATGTCATTTACTTAAACGACTTTTGTAGCACAACCTTGAAAAGAATGCGCTACTCGTTGCTGAACGTTGCATGACGTCGCAATCAGTGGGCGTAAAGGCTATCTGTCGGCGCACCATGTCGGTCAGAGGCGTGGTTGGCCGTGTGTGGCTGCCGAACCTACAAACTGTCGGGGTGGGTGGCGCTAAGGAAGGCCGCGTCGTGACGATTGATAATGACGGTCACTCCTGCGGCCTCGCTCATAATGTATGCATACATTGGTAGTTATCAGTTATGAACATACTTGGGTATCAAAAAAGAGTTTTGGTAAAAACAAGCTTGCATATAAATGCACGCGAATGGTGCTCGCTTAGTGAGCCTTACTTGAAACACGTGGGCGGCCCCGTTGTCACAATTCCTCGAGGCCTGCCGCTTTGTAATCACGGCTGGCATGTTCATGCAGTCTGGTATGGCATGCGCTCATGCAGTGCTGGCATTTCAGCAAACGAGAACTCCAATCCTACAAAAGTCGTGTGTTTTATGTGCGCACATTTGACAGGATGGTATTTGATCAGGTGTGATCCTACGAGATGATGAGCAGAACGTGATCTGATCTTCCCCCTTCGCCCTGCATGGGGGACGTAAATTCGATGATCGCGGAACGTTGCAGAGCGCAGTAGTCGGAAGCCGATCCGGATCTTCACAGCTTGCTGTCGCAGCGATGCACGGCTGACTCGTTTTGAGTCGGCAGAAAACGGCCGGTCTCGTGGGCAAAAGTGGGGGTCGACTGGTGTAGCCCCAAGCTGTGTGCAATAAGTGATCGTTGCGCACGTCCTCACGCACGAGCCGCCGGTCCGCCGGAGAGTTTTGAAGGCAGTTAAAAGCAGAGAGCGAACTGCATGGCGTTGCTCGGTGTGTCATTAAACGGTCCCAGAATCGTCCCATAACTAGGAACTCGCCATGTTACGGGTACGGCTACTTTTTCAGAAACTGGTATCGAATCAGGAAGCGATGGGCTGAATTGAAAGCGGTTGAACCATGAACCATGCACGTGTCGGTGCGGCCGTTTGCGGCGCGGCCAATGTCCACTCATAGTATTTCCGTTTTCTAAACATGAGTCGCAGCCACCAAAGACCGGAAATCTTCACAAAGCCACCAGTTTTATTAGATTAGCTTTCCAGACTGAGCAGACTTGCCCGTCAACCTTAAATCCGGGATTTTCCTGCAGTTAACTAACTCCCAGAGGCTACATTGGTGTATCTTTTAGCGTTTGCGGATGGTCCAACGCATCGGTCCTACCCGCTCGTATGCGTTGCAACAGGTGGCCTGTTCCATTAGCGTTAAGTTCTCACATTACTCACATCGTGATAATTGATAGCCCTCTCGTATGTTATCACCGCGCTCATCCCGCTTCACTGGTGTTTCACTGATCCACTGAGAGCAGTTTGGGTCCTCGTACGGTTGTCAGATTAAACATCCCCTGTGGGGATCAGGAAACAAGACTTGGGACTCTCAACCACTCAGCTGAGGCTGAAATACACAAAATTGTTCATCGAAAACGTGTTGATAGATGCGGGTTGCAATCCAGATTCAATTGCAGGGACTAGAATAACCTGCCACCTAATCTGCGTACAAGTCCTTATCCCAAAAATGGTTAGTATTGCATAGATAGTCCTGAAAACAACATTGCATCCCTGCGATCCGATTCTCGAAGACGTATTGCCTCCATCGGACGTCGGCCCGTGGCTTGGTCTGTTCGGTGATGTGACACTGACCGCCCTGGCACGACATCCAAGCTGGTTCGCCGACTTGAAAGTTTGTTAGCGTGCTGCGGTCAGTCTTCTGCGGGGCATTGGTGTCAGCGTCGGCCCAAGAGCCGGTGCTGAGACCGGTCGCGACCGGTCACCGCAGGCGTGACGTCAGACCGCGGCCAGTGACGTCACGCCGCGCCGCGCCGGGGTGGTGCACCGAGCCGATACTCCTGACTCGGACCCCGCTCACCGGCCGCTGGCAGTTGGTGAGCGCAGCGCATCTCCGGCGACCGGCCGAGGCCCTACAAGAGCCGATTGGGCGATAGTTCACTTCCGTTATCGTAGTAATTTATTACTGTATAGCCTGCATCCCACGAAAAAGTGCAAAAGTGGGGCAAGATGTCAGTTGTTTGGGATGTGTTGGGGTTGAAAAACGAGAAATTCATGTCTCTTTGAGGGTATTGCAGGACGTTTAAGGTGGGCGCACTTTTTGAAGACAAAAGTGAGATAGGTTTAGTTGATAAATGCCCGCGGGGTTGTGTTACATGCGTGCATGGGACTAGTGGGATTTTCCCTTTTGAGGAACCCATTGGAGCAGGTCTTTTGTAACCCGAACTGACAGGGCATTCTTGCAATCAGTTTATCACAGATGTATGTCAATGGCAAAGTTACAATCTATATAAAACTGTCCTACAGTCAGTCTTACAAATAGCGTACCATCACGTGCTTTGCACAATGGAAACTGAGCCCGCGTGCGAAGCTTCCACAAAAAGTTGTGGGTGTCAGGGATAGTAGGTTTTTTCTGGTGCTCCGAGCCGATCCTCCTGACTCGGGCCCATTCACCGGCCGCTGGTAGTTGGTGAGAGGAGCGCATCCCCGGGACCGGCTGGAGACCGGTCGAGGCTGGTGGTGCTCGCCCGCTCGCCGTACACTCTGCGATGCCGCAATCTCCGGCTGTCTGCCATCCAGGCGGGCCGATCTCCGGCTGTTCACTATGCAGGCGGGCCGGGTTCGGCGGACGCTGCCGTGACCGCGCCGCCGCCGGGCCGCACACACACGCACCTCGGGCGCGACGTGACGTCACCGGCTGCGGTGTGTGACGTCACGCGTGCGGTGACTAGTCGTGTCAGCCGGATGCGCGGGGCGTGCCAGGGGCGGCGCTGGCCGGTGACGCGGCGGCCGCCAGCTGACGAGCGCCGCCGCCGCCGCCGCCGCCGCCGCCGGCCGTACAGTCTCTAGCAGGGCAACCCGCGCGGGTTGGCGCGGTGCGGCCGGGACGGGAGGCGCGGCCGCTGCGGCTGGTTGCCAGTTGCGCGCGTGTGACTGCTGGGCAGCGTGCTGCCGACGTCGACTCCGACCGCGGCGCGGCTGTGCGGAGCCCGGTGCCGTCATGGGCCTCCACAAACAGAACAGCCTATCCAGCATCTTCCGCAAGCCGTTCCATAAGAAGAAGAGCAAGCACAAGGCGGCGCGGAGCGAGGCGGCCGAGGCGGCACCGGCGGGCGCGAGCCCGGCGCCGGCTTGCGAGCGGTGCCCGCCGCTCGAGAAACGCGTGGCGCAGCTGACGAGCGAGCTGCAGGAGGTGCGCGGCGAAGTGACGGCGCTGAAGAGCTCGGTAGCGTTGCTGCAGACGCAACTGAGTCGCGCCGACAGCGCCGGTCGTGGTCGCCGCCGGCGCGACTCGTACGAGTCCTGCTGGGACGCCACCAGTCTACGCTTCTACAGTGCGCAGGAGGTACCGTGCGCCACGTCCGACCTTGAGGACAGCCCGCCAGTCTCGCCACGGCGCGCCGCCGCCGCTGCCGTCGCTTGGACGGCGCCGGGCAGCCCGTGACGGCCGGGAAAACGGCCGTCACGGTCGCGTCGGACAGGGCAGCTCGTCCGGTCGACCTGCCGTGTTCTTTGTGAGCAGGCTCGGTGACCCGGCGAGCGCCGGCTCTGTCGCAATGCGGGCGTCGGACGGCGGCGGGTGATCGCTCAGCGCGGCGTCAGCTCCGCTCGGAGCCCGTGTGGAGCCGCCCGGCCGCCCGGCCGCCAGGCCGCCAGGCCGCCGCGCTCGGCCGGCAGCGCCATGTAGCCGGCATTGTGCAACGGGGGTGGAGGACGCCCGGTGCGGGCCGGTCGGGCTGCCGGATCTGTCGCGCGCGCCGCGCGGCACCGGCCGGACCCGCGCCCACTGCGTGGCCGGCGGGGGCTGCGCGCTGTCGGGCGAGGCTTTGTGTGGGATGACGGAGGTGGGGGGAGGGGGAACGAAGGGGAGTGCGGGCGCTCGTGGGGAGCGGGGGCGCGCGTGGTCCGGTTCGGCGTCGGCTTGGGAGGCGGGGTGTGGGGGCCGGGCGGACGGGGCGTGGTGGCCGCGTGGTGTCCTATGACCGCTAGATGGGTGCCGTGAGCGACTCCCAGAGATGGGCGAGACCGCAAGCGCGCGAGGCGTGCCGTCTGTTTACGGGGCCTGGCGTGTCAGGGCTATTTTCGGTGCCGTCCTGCAGGGTCGTGTGGCGGCGGCGCCAGTCACCCTGTGGACCCGGTCAGAGGATCTGCCAAATCTCCCCCCCCCCCCCGCCCCTCATTCGCTCCCTCCATCTGCCGGCCATTCCTGACAGAGACCGAGCTTGCTGCTATAATCGGCGTGATAGCCCGGGCCTGGGCCTGACCGCCGCCTGCCTTCGATGGGCTCAGCAAACCGCGGCTGAGCGCCATTGAAAAAGTCCCGCGCTTTAGGACGGAAGACCGTGCGCCTCGCGTGCAATTGTCGCTCTTGATGCTGGTGGTGCCTGACGCTTCCACGTGCTAGCTGGACTGCGGTGGGTGTGCAGCTTTATGGGTCCTTTGTGTCGGCAGGGAGGATCCGATAGCGACTTTATAGTTATCGTTGAATTAGTATGAATGAGGCATAAAACGGGTCCCATGCTCTTCTGTCTGCGGCTGTCCAGGCGTCTAGTGATGCGAGTGCAATAAATCACATGCTATAACATGTGTGGATCCGGAACGGATTGCGGGGCAGCTTATGTGGTCGATTGAACCAATAATTTTACTACATGAAGAGTGTGCCACTGAAAAACGTAAGAATAAACTTTTTCATAGTAGCAAATTTGTGGGGTGATCCTATTTGCAGCTGGAATTACAGGAAAGCATTACGAGCAGCGTATTCTGCTAACGTTATGGGGTTATTAGGACATTGTTTACGTGTTCCATTTCCATTGTAGCTGCTCGCCGTTGCCTGCGGCATCGCTCGCTGGAGACCAGAGTCGTACCAGCGCATCAGCATAGCAATTGGATATGACTGCATCGGTGAATCCGCGAATCAAAGCATCAGTAAGCCAGCTCAGCTACCTTTGATCGCTTGGCTATAAAATCAACTGCACTGGACCACAGACTATGTTGATAGCTGGGACCGGGACCGCGCTGTAGCTGCACTGGACCACGGAATCTGTTGATAGCTGGGACCAGGACCGCGCTGTTTTCCACAGCCATGTCGTACTGTGGGCCGAGTATCCCGTAAGTGCGCGTCATTGGCCTCAATTGTCAAATGGCACCGGAACCGGCGAGCTGTTGGAGCCCTCGCGGGTGGCGGGCATCCCCCCCCCCCCCCCGGCCTTCTTCCCACACACTCAGACGCGGCGTGGTGACCGTTCGCCACGCGTGCGCACGAGGCTGGAGCCAATCCGTTCTGAGTTCAGCTCGACCGAAAACCGCATCCGCCTTCCGTCTGTGTCGATCGGCAATCTGCGGACGGACGGCCAACCAGTTTCAGTTTGAAAGTGTTGCGACACCTCATGAATCTAAAAGTAAGGCTATCATGTACAATCTCACGCATTCAAAGCAGAGGCAATCGCGTACAATGGTAGCGGCTGTTCGCGGCGCGCCACACCGCACGCCGGTGCCTCGGCCAGTACCGGGCTCGGCCGCCAGACCGGCTGCCCCGGAACCAGGGTTGCAAGTTTGCTTTATGTGGATGCTTCGGTGATCAGCTGGCTAGCTATTCTGCCGGTGCGATTTCGCCACGGCCGGCTGCCACTGCCGCGTGCAGTCACCTTCGTGGGAGGAGCGCACACCGCCGGTCTGGCGGTGGCTGCTGCCGTGTGCAGTCACCTTCGTGGGAGGAGCGCACACCGCCGGTCTGGCGGTGGCTGCTGCTGTGTGCAGTCACCTTCGTGGGAGGAGCGCACACCGCCGGTCTGGCGGTGGCTGCTGCCGTGTGCAGTCACCTTCGTGGGAGGAGCGCACACCGCCGGTCTGGCGGTGGCTGCTGCTGTGTGCAGTCACCTTCGTGGGAGGAGCGCACACCGCCGGTCTGGCGGTGGCTGCTGCCGTGTGCAGTCACCTTCGTGGGAGGAGCGCACACCGCCGGTCTGGCGGTGGCTGCTGCCGTGTGCATTCACCTCCATGGAAGGAGCGCACACCGCCGGTCTGGCGGTGGCTGCTGCCGTGTGCAGTCACCTTCGTGGGAGGAGCGCACACCGGCTGGTCTGGCGGTGGCTGCTGCCTGTTGCAGTCACCTTCGTGGGGAGGAGCGCACACCGCCGGTCTAGCGGTGGCTGCTGCCGTGTGCAGTCACCTTCGTGGGAGGAGCGCACACCGCGGTCTGGCGGTGGCTGCTGCCGTGTGCAGTCACCTTCGTGGGAGGAGCGCACACCGCCGGTCTAGCGGTGGCTGCTGCCGTGTGCAGTCACCTTCGTGGGAGGAGCGCACACCGCCGGTCTAGCGGTGGCTGCTGCCGTGTGCAGTCACCTCGTGGGAGGAGCGCACACCGCCGGTCTGGCGGTGGCTGCTGCCGTGCTGCAGTCACCTTCGATGGGAGGAGCGCACACCGCCGGTCGGGCGGTGGCTGCTGCCGTGTGCAGTCACCTTCGTGGGAGGAGCGCACACCGCCGGTCTGGCGGTGGCTGCTGCCGTGTGCAGTCACCTTCGTGGGAGGAGCGCACACCACCGGTCGGGCGGTGGCTGCTGCCGTGTGCAGTCGCCTCCGCGGGAGGACCTTATACCGCCGGTTTTCGGTGGCTGTTGTCGTAAGCTGGCGGCGAAAGGGGACGTGCGGACTGTTCAGTGTCATGCCGTGCAGCGCCGGTTTGTTTGACGTGCCAGCGCTGGCTGATGGGTGAATGCTGGATTTTGCTTACGCAGACCGCGTTGCTTCGGGAGTCATGAGGCAGAGTCAGCAGCTTTCCGTCGAGTCCCGCGCTGTGCGAGTCCCGAGTCCGCCACTGAGTTTCGTGGTGTAGGCCGTAGTTCGCAGTGGAGTCCTGTGTCGGATCGAGTCCCCTGTCGAGTCCAGCTTGTTTCGTGTCGTGCGCCGCAGAGGCCCAAGGCCGTTGCTGACCTTGCTTCGTGCGCGTGCTGTTGCAGGAGGGTCCGCACAGCACCATCGGCGAGGATGAGTTCTTCGACGCGGTGGAGTCGGCGTTGGACCGCATCACCGAAGACCAGGAGTTCCGCGACAAGATGCGGCAGAAGCAGCACGTCAAGCCTCCCCAGGCGCCCAGCAACCGCCAGCACTCGCTGCACAACGAGGTACGACGTGTCGTGTCTGCCGGAGGCTGACGGACGGACGGCACTCTCCCAGCGCTGTACCGCGACCACGCCGGCAGCGGATGGCCCGGCACTGATCGCTTCTCAAGACGTGCTGAACGTGCTGCTGTTGGACAATGCTCGTTGACGTTAAGGCTGTTCGAGTGGTCAGCTGCTGCGGTTTATGAGCGTGTCTGGCCCTTGAGCATGGAACGCGCGGACTCAAGTTTCCGAGGCGCATTTTGTAGGCAAATGTCTGTTTTCCTCCAGTCACTGTTTCCTCTTGTCACAGATGCAACGACTTACCTCCAGCAGCGCTGATCGCATCATGGCGTTTCCCAATGGAAACGACTTTTGTTTCTGGGCGCCAGAGTGTTACACAACGAAAAGATCCTAACGCAATACTGTGCACGTGATGGCAGACTTGCTTGGCCTCCGGTTTCGTGACGCTCGGCACATACGCTGTCGGCGGCTGTAGCTCCCGCTCGCTTGAGGCCAGGCCCCCACGGCCCTCGTGCGCTGCTCCAAGCCGACCTGACGACACGTGCTCGTCCACCCGTCCCTCAAGACCGATTCTCTCCCACTGTGCCCCACGACCGGCGCCTCGCCAGCCCGCCGCTCACGCGCCTCCCGCCGCCAGGTGGAGCAGGTGAGCCAGCAGCAGCTGCGGTACGCGCTGGCCGGCGTCGACGACGGCGTGTGGACACTGTTCGCGCAGGAGGGCGAGATGAAGATGTACAAGCGCGAGGAGGAAGTGGACGGCCTGGCCGTCGACCCGCTCAAGGCTGTGCACGTGGTGTCGGGCGTGACGGCGCACGAGGTCTGCTGGCACTTCTGGTGCCCGGATGTCCGGCTGGAGTGGGAGAGTGAGTGTGCCGACGGGCCCGCGGCGTGGCGCTGGAGGCGGCCGGCCAGCCATGTCGGCCGTTGTGACGTGGCAGTGGGTCAGCGCGCTCCCGGCCCGGTTCCGGGCGCGGCGGACGAGCTGGTTCACGCCGCGGTGGCGTGTCGAATTGTGAGCTGCTTAGGTCGGGCGGCGCGTCGACGATGATGATGCTCGTTCGTGTTCGTGCAGTCGACGGAGCTGGAGCGTATGGGTAGTTGTAGCCACTAGCATCTGGCCATCGCCGGAGCATGCCAGAGTTTCGGGGATCTGGGGTGTGGCAGTCAGGGTCATTGCTGGAGCACATGGTGTGTGACACTGGCATGGACCCGGCGCCCGGGCGTGTTTTGGAGACGCGGGCTGCTCGCAACAGCACGGCACGCATACCCCTGGCACAGCCGGCGCCCACCGGCGGGCCGGTGGACTGGACTGGGCACGCTCTCCTGACGTTCGGTTCGGGGGGGGGGGGTAGGGTTGGGGTAAGGAGAGCTCAGCGGGGTATCAGGTCGCGGTCGAGCTGCCGGAACAAACTGGTCAGCTGTTGCAAAAGCACGACAGCGGGCTCGTCTGGGGTCTCGGCTTCTGCTGAGCCGATGCTGGGCCGTGACCAGTCGTCGGATCGTCTTTGTGACCAGGCATGACGTGCAGCCTGACGGAAGGCGACATGTTCATGACGAACCACGTCATGTTGGGGGATGAGTTAAGCGCAGACGCCCTGCGTCCGCTGTGGCATCGCTTGTGTCGCTGGTGTGACATCGCTGGCGTCACTGGCATTGCTTATCGAGGACGGCTCCGGCAACGTGGTGTATCTTTTCGCTTCATTTTAAGACGGCAAATATGTTGGCACTCCTGACCCCGATCTGCGCGCGCCAGTGCCAAACGCGGCGGTGCCCGGCCGGGTCAAGTGACCACAGCCCCAGCCCAGCCTCCTGACGCGTGCGTAGCTGCATGCTCCGGTCAATCCAACTGGCCTGGCAGCGTGAGGCACGGCGCGCCCCCCGACTGACCGCTCTGCCTTCCCTCCCCTCCACCGCAGCCACCGTGGAGCAGGTCACCATCCTGGAGTCCGTGGACGAGCAAACGGCCATTAACCTGCAGGTGCACAAACGAGTATGGCCGGCCGCCCAGCGCGACTCGCTCTTCTGGTCGCACATTGAGCGCCAGGTGGTGGACGGCCAGGAGTGGTGGCTCGTCGTCAACAACTCGACCGACTACGCCAGCGAGGTGAGCCGGCGCGCGCGCCGAGGCACGCCGGCCGACGCGGCCGCGTGGCCGCTAGGCCCGCCCGGCGCCTGGCCGACGCGCCGCGCCCGGCCGAACGGGTCGGCCTTTTTTTTCTCAAGCCGCGTTGGACGAAGGCATGGGAAGTCGGATTTTGCTGCCGTTTTAAGAGCCGTTTTTAGTTTGCTCGCCATTTTGTGCACTGTTGCACTCACGGGCTGCTGGGTGTTTAGGGGAACCGTGCGCCATCCGACGACGGAAATGGCCACGGACGCATGGGCTGATGGGGTTGTGCCTCGCCTTCCGCCGTCCTGTGTTACGCCCGGTACTTTATGAACCGTCCTTTCCAGATCCCTCCAAAACCCCTGGTAAATGATCCCACGATATCCATAACTATTGTAGTGTTGGCGTCGTCACGTGCACATTTGCTCGTTCCTTCGATTCCATGCACTTTTACACAATTCCATGTCTTTTTTTTACCTTGTTTGTTTTCTTTTTGGCGCTCCGCATCAACCTTTTGTCTAACGGGGCACACGCTCGCTTTAACAACAGGCTCAACAACCAGGCTATTAACGGCTGCATGCCCGTGTGGGTTTCAGTGAGTCGCTGAGCTGGTAGCCGGGATGCGTATGTGTTGTAGAGGCACAGTACTGTGCGCCCGTTTCTCTAGATCGCTGTAGCCAGTGCCTGGAGTTTTTGTTTCGCGGCTCCCAGTCACTGTTCGACGCGCGCGGGTCGCTGGGAGTC